ATTGGTCTTTATCGACTCCCAGACGACAACTAAATAATATGTCATTTTAATTCCCAAATATAATCGTTTCTTTATTCTTAAAAATCGTAATATATTTTATGAGGAAATTGTATTTTATCATCAAAAAAACAAAATAAGAAAAAAAATGAAAGTGCACTTAGGCGTCATATGAGATGGCTTATGTAAAATCAGATGTACCTGGGCGTCATCTCATATGACACATCCCTTATAAAATTAGATGCAAGCACCCTCTCATATGACGCGACCATTTAAATCACTTATGAAACATAATTATTTAGATAATTTTTTCAAAAAATTGATTATTGATGTATTTTTTTTCAATAACTAATTATTCCAAAAAAAAATCATATTTATCTATATTTAACTTGAAAATATTGGAAGAAGGAAGTTTGTGATTCACATCAACTTTTTTCCTTATCTATAATTAATTGTCTGTATAAAAATTTTAAAAATTGACTCTATCATTAATTAAAAGAAAAGTATCAAACTAAATTGATTACATTAATCTAATAAATAATATTATATATTAAAAAATATTAATTTTTTTACGGACAATTCATCACCATCATCCATTTATATTATTTTATAAATAGTAAAAAAAATCAAATTTCTTTTAATATTAAAAACATATAATTAATTGATTGTATAAATTTTTCTAATACTGTTATACATTTCAATTGAATTCATATTAAAATATATGAAGTATAACATTTAAGTCAAAATAAAATAATGTTACTAAAATTTTATTGTAAACTTTGAAAAAAAATTGACAAAAATTATTTAAATTATTTAGTTAAAAAAATTGTAAACTGGTCCTATTTGAAGTTTTGCTGTTAAGAGATAAAATTATGAAATCTCTACCACTGTACCACATATATCGAATACCTATATTATCTAGATTTAATTTTTATTTATCATTTAAAAAATAGTTATGATAAAGTCAAATATTTGTAATAATTTAAAATTTATTATTCTCTCTATATGTTATAATAACTTGGGACCCGTTTGTTATAGATGTAAAAGTAGATTTAATTTATTTTTTTATTCTTGCAACTACTATTAGAAAGGGACTAGAATCATTTGATGTCAGAATTGATTAGGGATGAAGCGGATCAATGATGAGTTTAAGTACATTTAAATTCGCACCCGTCATTTAGATCTAGACTCACCTCTAAACTCATTTGAGATTAATATTTATTCTCCTGCCTTCGTTTCCAATAAGAAATGGACTTCTCCGCACCCACTCGAATAAAATATTATTTTTTTAAATTTATACTTTTTTCAATAAAAATAAAAATCAATAATTAAACTAAATAATTAATTATTTTAAAAACATTTTTTATTATTGATATTTTTATTTAAATTGTATTTCTTTTAAAAAAAAATAATAATTCTAATAAACATGATATTATAATATTAAAAAGAGTAAATGAGTAATAAAACTATTAAAAATAAATTAAATAAATTAAATTTAATTGGCAGGTACGGGATGGGTGCGGGTGAAGGGCGGGTACTAACATCACCCGCCCCCGCACCCGCACTCGTAAATAAAAATTTGGTTTTCTCCCCACCCGCCCCGGTTAAACTGGATTTTCTCTGCTAATTTCGGGCCAGGGGCGGTCGGGGCCCGACGGGGACGAGTTTATTTACCATGTCTAGAATTGACCTCCAAACCGAACTATATCGGTGATGAAAACCAAAAATAAAAAACCGAAAAAAATAATAATTTTTTTATATGTTTTTAAAATTAATGTTATTAATTTTTTAAAAATAGTAAAAGTCATTTTAAAATGATATTTTATAAATTAAAAAATTAATTTAACATTGGATAATTTAATATAAATTATTGAATATTAAAATTTGATCAAAATCACATAATTTTTTTAAAATATAAATTTAAATAGACAAAGAGTTAAATTCATGGTTAAAATAATTCTTTGTATTTTTTCATAATGTACTTGTTAAAAAATTGTTGTTACATATATATATATATATATATATATATATATATATATATATATATATATATATATATATATATATATATATATATATATATATATATATATATATATATATATATATATATATATATATATATATATATATATATATATATATATATATATATATATATATATATATATATATATATATATTATCTTATTGAATAAGAAAATAATATACATTTTATTGTTATTTTATACTAATTAAAAAATAATTTACTAAAATGTTGTATATACTTAAATTAATACTTGGTATCTACTAATGCCATTGATATATATTAATTCAGTCAAACATATATTCTTAATAACTAATAGAATTTTATATATTGCTGCTAAAAAAATAATATAACTATATATTGATTAGAATAATGGAGTAATATATTATTAAACAATATATATAACTCATTAACACTAATAAAATATAATAATTAATTGACATTTTTATAGTGTTATATATGGAAGGATGTGAAAAAATCTTTACATAATTTTTTCTTTAATTATAAAAAACCAAAGTATTCAGTGAAACTGCATTATTGGGAACCATCGTTGGTGTTTATGCTCTTGGATTTGCAGTGATTTCGTCCATCATGGTTCTGTGCTGCAAAGACTGTGCTGAAGGTGTAAGTGAACCTGTGAAATCCAAGAATAAAGAAACATCTATGAAAGCAAAAACTTCTACGAGTCGAGAAAAAAAAGACAAAATCGTCTTTTTCGACGATTGTAATCATTTTGCATTTGATTTTGAGGACCTTCTGAGAGCTTCTGCTGAGGTATTTGAAAAGGGTGTTTTTGGTACAACATATAGAGCTGCTTTAGATGATGCAACCACTGTGGTGGTGAAGAGATTGAAAGATGTTGCTGTAGGGAAAAAGGAGTTTGAACAACATATGGAAGTTGTAGGGAAACTTATGCATGAAAATGTGGATGCAATAAGAGCTTATTATTATTCAAAGGATGAGAAACTTGTTCTTTCCGATTATCATCAACAAGGCAGTGTTTCTTCTATGTTGCATGGTATGTTGTTGAATCTTTTCTCTTTAATCCATATTTTTTGTAAATTCTTAACAACTAGGTATGTGGTGCACTTTTAGTAGATCCCGTCCGATCGATAGGAGGGTCTTGTTATATCTCAATCGTTCGATTATTGTTATCCGGTTTGGTCATGATAATCGAGTGATTGAGATCTAAACAGGACCCTCGTGTCAATGGTAAAGGATCTTAATCTGATTCAATTAGTAGACTTCTTTTTATATTATCTTGATTTACTTTATCAATATTCCATCATATGAAAGTGGATAATGTAACTATGTAAGCATGGTTTTGCATGTAAATCATGAAGGCAAGAGAGGGGAAGGAAGCACTTTTTCTCTAGACTGGGATAGCCGTTTAAGGATCGCGATTGGTACAGCAAGAGGCATTGCTTACATCCATGCTCAGCCTGGAAACCTAGTTCATGGAAACATAAAAGCCTCAAACATTTTCCTCAACTCACAAGGATATGGTTGTGTATCTGACGTAGGTTTAGCAACATTGATGAGATCAGTACCTTTAGCAGACACTAGAGTAGCAGGATACCGTGCACCAGAACTAACTGACACGCGTAAAGCAACGCAGTCATCTGATGTATACAGTTTTGGTGTCCTGTTACTTGAGCTTCTAACTGGGAGGTCAGCTTTATATGCTGGGAAATCACCTTTAGATGCTACAGATGGTGAACAAATTGTTGACTTGGTTAGATGGGTGAAATCTGTTGTGAAAGAGGAATGGACTGCAGAGGTTTTCGATGTGGAGCTTTGGAAGTATTCAAATGTAGAAGAAGAAATGGTGGAGATGCTGCAGATTGGGATAAATTGTGCAGTAAAAAAGCCATATCAGAGACCACAGATGTCTGAAGTTGTGAGAATGATGGAAGGGATTAGTCCCGAGTCTAGATCAGAAGTTTCTACTCCAACTGTTTGTGCAACTTAAATACTTTTCAATTTCTTACTTATGCTTCACAGTTAGATTATTTCGATTATTGATTTGTGGAGTTTTGGTGTTGGAATCCACAACCAATATGGAACCCAGGTTTTGAAAACATTTTAAAGTCAAAGTGTTGTCTTGAGCTGCAGACATACACTATTAAGTTACTGTTAAGTGATTCAGACTTGAGTATTTTAATAGATTAATACATCAAAGTTGAAAATAATTGCTTTTTCACCCTTACACTTGTCTTCACTTGTGAAGTAAATAATTCAACTTAAAGCGATTAGCCTAGTAGTTAAAGAAGTTTAATCTATAAATTAACAACTTCTATTGAATCTTGCAAAAACGCTGCAGAATTATTACTGGTATGCCGAGCTGGGATTTTTATTGAATCTTGTATGTGCAAACTTGTGAATGAATGGGATCGATGTGTACACGCCATTGGAACAGAGTTTTTACTAACTTTATTTGTATGACTAGATTAGAGATTTTTTACTTGATACTTTCACCATTTGCCATCTTCTACTTGACAACTTTGCACAGAGTTGTCCTATGCATTTAGTTTGTAAAGACTAAAAGTAATAGGGTCAGCATTCCCTCTACTTACAACTCTATTTCATCAATCCAAACAAACCCTATGGGCCATCCAAATTATATTTAACGAGAAAACAAAGAGGTTATAACATAAACATACTAACTAGGTCATGTAAAACGATCTCCTAAAGAGACAACCCAAACAGGCTACACGCAAAGGTAAAAATCACAGAACTTACATTATTCCTAAAACTTTGATTTGATTCTATCATACACACAGCTTAACCTGGTTTTAAGCTGAAAACTTACATCCCATATACATTTCTTTTCTTTTGAAATTTCTGATACTATTAACCTTGGGAAAGGGGAAGCTATGCCTGGAAGAACCTTTCCCACACGATCAATAAAAAATCATGTCATGTACGTATGTCCTACCAAGTTTACAGATATCATCGGGAAAATGCAAAATGAAATTCACTTCCTCAAAATTCTTGTTTTGACACCCCCTGAAATTTATTAAAACAGAAATAAAAGAAGAATCAGAAAGTGCCGCAGAAAATACTATACACCACATAAATGACAGCATGGAACGGAGAAGTATAGGATAATTCTCAGTCCACACTGATTAGACAAACTTTTGGGACATACCTTCAACTTCCTCAAATTCAATCTCCTTAACCAAGTCAGATTGTGCATTATACTCAAACCTACAAAGGAATTGCAAAACGTGTGTCTTCAGCGATAGATTGAAACTCAAGAAAGTTTCATGATAACTGTTTGTAACAATCTCAACAGAATTTACAATAGTACATTTTGACGAAAACACCAATCAAATTAAGTGCAGCCCACTTCAAATGTGCGTCAGGAAACATTAAAATATGAACTCCATTATTATAATTCTAGTCATCTAATAGAATTCATGGAGTTAGGAGATGAGAGAATTCAGAGGTGTTGGAGACATCTGCAATGCAGGAATATGCTATTATGTATCCAGGTGTCATTTTTACATAAGGACCTACTTTCTGAATTTTATGACCTCGGAGGTGGGATAGTGATTGATAACATGCATTCTAAACACAGATATTTAGGGATAAAAATGGATTCTGTTTCCAATGTAATGCTGGAGGATAAATAAGTCGGAGTCTTTTATCAATTACTTGTTATTCCTGTTAGCAACCCACCCTCCGTAATTCTCACGCATAACCAATAACTTAGAACTGATAAGAGAACCGTACCAGACAAAACCTTACAAGGCAACATATACGAAGGACCATGAATAAACGTCCATTGGTGCATATGGTGTTTTAAGCATTGGATATAATATATTTTTATTGGATGGATATGATTTGTCACTGGAATCCTGTAACTGCTTTACCTTCGGAAAATTGCTGTATGGTTCTAATCCGTTACTCGTCCCAAGAACATTGGGTGAGTGGTTCTTTTGACAACAAGACATGATGGTGCCTTAAGCATACACATTATGGAAGAAAAAGCAATGTAGATTTTTGAATGGACATATTAGACACTTGAAGCGCACATAGAGGAAGGAATAAGCAAAACTAGTCGTTCTGATCTACAACACCCAACTGCATAATTTTAAAAGAAGGGAGGAGATGTGTGAGTTTATTGTTAGTTCCAACATCTCAATCGATCACAAAACCGTCATCGAAAACCACAAAAGTCTTGGCCAAAACCTCTGCTTGCAACTAGGCTAATTGGCTAAGCTTCATCAGACCCCATTCCACACAATAACTAGCGCCTTCGTCACCATTCCTAGATGGAAGAGCCAACTAAACAATGGTTCTATTTAACATTTGCGGATTTCAAATCCGTACCCTGGTCCCTTCCTACCCCTAAAGCTTGAAATCCCATAAAGCTTGAAAACTCTTATTTAGGGCACTTATATATTTCTGTGGTTCATTAGTCTCATAGGAAGGCAAAGCTGGATAGGAGTGGGAGAAGGGATCGGAGATTTTGAAGCTGTTAGATGAAATATGAAAGATATGATGATGGGAGCTTTAGGCATGGCTTAAGGGAGACGAAAGGATCTGTGTAAAGTGGAAAGGAAGATAACACTGAGGGAAAGGGGGGAACAAGATTAGCTACCTTAAGATTTTCATACCTTTGATACCTTTCTCTCTATCTCTCTCTTAACCATGTTTCTCTCATCTAAATCTATTTTCAAAATGCACCAAAGGTATGGAATAGTAAAGGTAGGGAATCCTTTCCCGGGAACAGGGTGAATGGAGAGACTATTTTGCCTTTTTCCACTCTCTATTGCTACTGGATATACCCGGTTATGTTAATGGTGCACAGGTGGACTACACTAAAAATATTTCGTACAAGCGCCCATTTTACAATCCTAAGATAGACAAAGATAAACAACCAGAAACTGTAAAATAAACAGGATAATACGGCATACGACCTCTGAATTATATTTTATTATCGTACCGCAAACTCCAACCATTAGCACATACCAAAAGAATGCAACTCAACAAAGAAACATGTAACACAGGTTTGATGAAATAAGAAAATTCAAGTGTTTGCTATTCCTAGAGTATTTGTACAAAAACAAAACAACTTCTACAAAGTTATGCAAATATCCACAAGAAACCATAGCAAAAGTTCATAATGTAGTAGAAATCAAACAGGTATAATAGGAGTTACCTATTGGAAGAAACCACCTCAAGTTCATAATCAGAAGCTTTCCTAGTAGCTTCATTAAAAGCAGTAACAATTTCAATCTTCCTCGCACTCGCAACTAGTAAATCATACTCAGTCGGAATTATAACAGCCAAAAAATTATCATTTAGTTTACTTATACAGATCTTATCAACAGCTGCAAGTGCTATCCTCCGTTTAAGAGAATCAATCTCCGGGTCAACAATGTAAATTGCAAAATCCGTAATCAAAAGAATGCGGCTTTTCATCTTCCCTGAACTAGTAAACTTCAAAAGTTTATCTGCAAATAAAACTTCCTGGTCCCCTGTAATAAAACAATAAAAAATATTCAACAATAACCCTAAAATACATGATTATTCTTTCGATAACCCTAACCGATGATGAAATGAACAAATTGGGAACGAGCGTGAAATTAGGTTTAACCTTGTTTGTGCAAAATCTTGGTGAGAGAGGGGTGAGAATTGAAGTTGATGTAATCTCTCTTGGTGAGTATTTCTTGATCGGCGGGTTGAACCGGAGAAGACTGTTCACCGTCGATCTGGTCTGGCGTCGGCATCGTGCTCAACCGTTCGGAAACTCGAGAGGGGAAGGCAGGGGAGGGTTACGAGTTATGAGGTGAGTTGAGATGAGCCAACTCGGTCAGGTTCGCGTGCAGGTGGAGCAGTGGATCCCTCCAGCTGGCTCTCGTTGGTTTCACTTGGATTATTATGATGGTCCAGCTGGACACTGTCAATTATTTTTCTTTTCTTTTTTCCTTTTCCTTTTCATTACCACTCCAAATATTTCCATCATTTCTTATTTTCTTTTCATTATTATCTCTATAAACAAGTTTCCTTTTTTTTTTAAGTTATAACTTTTCTTTTCACATACCCAAAATATATCATGTTATTTCTCTTAAGAGAATGTGCATTCCACCTTCATATGATCTCTTATACTTTTAAAAATTCAAAAGTATTTTTAGTATATTCAGAGATGCATCTCTAACACACTCAAAATCACACTAATAAAAACGTTGTAAAATTTTGCTTTAAAAAAATATTTGGAGATGCATCTCTGAAAGATCAGAGATGTATCTCTGTAAAGTTTCTTGTTTTATTTTCCAAGAAGAAATAACATAATAGGTAAAACAACACTTGCACGTCAAATTTATAATTTGAATGTTTATCATTTTGAAGTTGTTTCTTTTTTTCACATGAAAATTCAACAAAATATGGCTTTGAAGAGAATCTTCTCTCTAAAACAATTGGCCTGAACATTAACAACACAGACTATGTCAAAACAAGGTTATTTTGATTCTTGATGATGTTGATAAATTGAAGCAATTGAAAGCCATGAAAGGTCGATAGTGAAAGGCTTTAAAAAAAATACAATTGATTCAAATTATAAGGAAATTTTATACCGCACAGCAAGATACACTTACTTCTGGCCTTCCAACTTTAGAAGTAACGAGATACTTTACAGAGAGATACATCTCTAGACATTTTTTTGAGCAAAATAAAGGGTGTCTCACTTGCATAGCCTTTATTAGTATGATTTTAGCTGTGTCCGGAGATGCATCTCTGCACACTAAGGACAATTGAGATTTTTCACGATATTGTGGGTGAACATATAAGAGTGTGTCATACTCTAATTTTTACCCCCTAAGATCCCACTTATCATATCATTGCATTTCATCAAGATCACAAACATAGTAGCCTCCTAACCCTCTTGTATTTGGGTTTATTGTGTGGGAGATCATCAAGCACCCTTTGTGTTTTCTTATATCTTTGTATTTTACTTGCTTTTATGCTTTACTAACCCTACTCAAAAGACAAAAATATGTTTTGTTTCCTTTTCTTATTTTGCAATGTATGGCATTTTTTCATCAAGAGATCAAGTAGGGTTTCTAAATTAGGGTTTTGATCCCCTAATTCAAAGTCAGGGTCAACAAGTGGTCAACAAGGCTTATTCTTCAAAGCATGACCTACAATCTTAGGCCACATTCATGTCAAGCTTCAGTCAATATCAATTGATCAAAAGAAGTTCAAGATTGAGGCATTTTTCAAGTGGTTTCAAGTTAAGGCTTAAGTGTTTATTTACATGCCCTTTTCAGTCAAATTTCTCAAGCAATCCTCAAGATTAATCAAAGTAAAATCAAGATTCAAGCATGTGATGTTAGAATGATCATCATTGTGCCTTAGAATGCAAGGAAAGGTCAAAAATCATAAGTTGGTACAAGTGTGGGTGACCTAAAAACCAAGTATGGCATGTTTTTGATCCAAATAGCATAACTTTCGCATTTCTCAATATTTTCGGGCGATTCTTTGAGCCAAATGTCCCTTTTGATGTCCTCTATAACTTTGCTTCAGAGGTTAAACATTAATTTAATCTCTAAGTCCATCAAATATTGAAGGCCACATATGCATAAAACTAGGTCATAACCTAATGCCTACCTGTTTTTCAGTGTCACGATCCCATCTTTCAACTCATGCCATTTCCACATAAAACATCCTTTTGAATTGTTTCTTTTTACATTGTATTCTATTATATGAGAGGATCATTTAGCAAAAAGAGAATCAAGAAACACACGAGTATATTTCATTTGGCCTAAGCTTGAACATGGTGATTCAACTTTACATCTTTGATACATGACCCGTAATTAGAAATGACCTGAAAATTGCTTTGGACCACTTTGCACGTGTGCAAACTTTTTTTTCATGATGAAACACATTTGGTACAACATAAAAAAAATGAATTTCTCAACAAATCACACATTCCATGCTCATTCTCACACAGTTTTGGTTCCAGAATTTTCTAACTTGGTTCACACGATTGAGATCAAATTTGGCACGTATGATAAGCTTACTCATTCTCCTATAAATAGAGCAAGCTTCTACTTTCATTTCCAAGCTTAAACAGCCAAAGAAACTCTGCTTCTCTCAAGCCCAATACCTCTCAAAAACTAGAAAACCTAACTCTATTTTCTTTTCTTTTCAACTTCAATTCTCAAACCAGAAAACTTCCTCAACATCATCTGAAATTGTTTGAAGCTTAACATAAGTTCTGCAACCCTTGGAAGCACTACTTCGATTTCACCATAATTACACCCTTGAATCTTACTTCGAATAGGTAGCTATGAGTAAAATCCTTAAGCAAATAAGTTACCACTCACTTCGTTTTGATCTTCTGAATAAAAGCCCTCACCTAACTGTGATTTATCATTTATATTAGTCATTTAATTTTACTTTGAAGCTCTTAGGGTTCCTAGGTGATTTTGCAATTTCTCTCCACTTTGAGTGAATCAATGGCTCTTTAGCAGAGAGACGTGAATAATGATGTTAGTTGAAGCTAAACTGTGTGGTGTTTAAGCTTAAAACGATGAATTTATGAACCTGCAAAATCACTTGGACGGAGGTTGAAGATTAAGGTGTGCACGCACAAGGGTGAGAAATTTGAATTTCTAACCAATCAGGTTGCACCACGCCTTCCTATTCATTGCATTTTTATTTATTTTTTCAATGTTATTCTTTTTTAATTCCTTTTTCTTTTAAAATCATTTAAAAATAGCTCATAAAACCTTTTTCACTTCAAATTTTTTCTATAATTTTCTAAAATTATTTTCTACCTTATATGTTTTTTTTTCATATTTTTAAAATAATTTTTAGTATTTTTTTATCATTTTCTCTTTATTTATTTTGAATTAACTTTCATCAATTTTATTTCAATCATTTTAAAACATTTTGGATCCCAACTTTTGAGATCTTGATCCTTAGTTTTTTTTTTCTTCTGATTTTCTCTAATTTTTGTGCCTTTTTATTTGATGTTTTGAGGCATCTTTTGTATTTTCTCTTTAATTTCCATTTTATGACATTTAAAATTATATTTAATTTCTATATATATATATATATATATATATATATATATATATATATATATATATATATATATATATATATATATATATATATATATATATATATATATATATATATATATATATATATATATATATATATATATATATATATATATATATATATATCTCTCTGTGTGTGTGTGTGTGTGTGTGTGTGTGTGTGTGTGTGTGTGTGTGTGTGTGTGTGTGTGTGTGTGTGTGTGTGTGTGTGTGTGTGCGTGTGTGTGTGTGATTGTTCTTGATGATTGGTACTTCTAACTTTTGGATGACTTGTGCAATTGTGGTTGATTGAAACTCATCTTGTTCAATTGTACTTGAATTGATGCTTGATGAACTTTCTTCATTTCAAATCTACCATTAAATGATTATTTGATCATTTTTGGTATTTTGGATTGATGATAAGTTTGTATCAAGGTATCATGAAGAAGATGAATTGAAGTAATGATCTCATCCCTTTACTTTTTGTGCTTGATCACCCTTCTTCTTCTTTCTTTTGCTTTGTTTTAATTAGGGGTGTAAACTGATCAGAAAAAACCAATTAAACCGATAATCTAAACCAAACCAAATCAAAATAAAACCAATTGTTTTTTGTTCGGTTATAAAATCGAATCAAACAAAAAAATTGATGTGGTTTGGTTTGGTTCTCGATTTTAGTTTTTAGGAACCGCCAAACCTATGAACCAAATCAATGAAAATAATTACGCTCTAAATATTTTATTTCTCCCATCATTAAGATTAACTTTTGTATCAATCCAACCATTATCCATCTTTGTTTACACTTCCTTCCTATCAGCAAAACATGCATCTAGAACCAAACTCCAAAACTTAGAAAATATAAACCATAAGTTACAAATACTTTTTTTCACTGAACTGGTGCTCTCGCTGCCTGCCACAATTGTTGCTCTCTCTACTGTCATTATGGTTGTCTTCATTGTGTTTAAGTTTTGTTCCTTAACTTTAATATTTCTTTAGCTTTTTCTTTTCTTCTTCAACAAAATTCATTCTAATCTTGTTACAAAATAGTTTTGATGTGTGTTTTGAGGTATGAAACATGTTAACTGATCCGTGCTTTGTTAAATCATATTTATTAAGCTTTCAAATCCTTTTCCAACCTTCTAATGCCAAGTGTCAACGTTTATATTTGATCGCAAACTTATTTCATAATCCAATGGAAATCATGTCATTGGTTCACATGTATTAATAGAAAATTATAATTTGTTTAAAAAAATAGAGCATGAAATAAATTATATGAAATGTATTGTTTTAAAAATGAATAGCATAAAATACACAAAAAAACATGATAGTGGAGAATATACTGATGAATATAATGTTTGAAAAAAAACATTATAAGTTAATCAACCGAACCAAACCAAACCGGTTATTTTGGTTCGGTTCCATTTTTGAAAAATGTTAAAAAACAAACCAAACTAAATCGATAGATATTTCATCGGTTCAAACCTTTTTTTGACTAAAAACCGGTCCAAACCGATCTGATTACACCCTTAGTTTTAATCATGGCGTTGCATTATTTTCGGAGGATGACTTTGTATCATTTATCTAACATGCACTACACCTACATTGCTATTGTCCGGCCTCTAATGATTGTGACTTCTATATAAGTCCAATTATGATTGCTTAACATGATGCTAAATTTTCCCAGA